TTCTAAATATATGGAGAATTGCTCCTGGGGGGGTCGGAATTGGGGGGCCTGCCTAACCTCTTTAGGCTGTGCAATACAAGTCAAGCCCCTACTACCAGATTGTAAATATATGGAAAATTGCTACCTGGGGGGTCGGAATTGGGGGGCCTGCCTAACCTCTTTAGGCTGTGCAATACAAGTCAAGCCCCTACTACCAGATTGTAAATATATGGAGAATTGCTCCTGGGGGGTCGGAATGGGGGGCCTGCCTAACCTCTTTAGGCTGTGCAATACAAGTCAAGCCCCTACTACCAGATTTTCAATATATGGTAAACTGCTCCTTGGAGGTGGGAAAGGGGGAGGACCCTGCCTAAACTCTTTAGGCTGTGCAATACAGGTCAAGCCCCTATTACCAGATTCTCCATATATGGTAAACTGCTCCTTGGGGGCGGGAATGGGGGGAAATGACCCTGCCTAACTTCTTTAAGCTGTGCAATGCAGGTCAAGCCCTGCTTACCAGATTTTCCATATATGGTAAACTGCTCCGTGGGGGAGGAAATGGGGGAGGATCTTGCCCAACCTCTTTGGGCTGTGCAATAAAAGTTCAAGCCCCTCCTACCAGTCTCCATATACGGTAAACTTCTCCTTGGGGGAGGACCTTGCCTAACCTAAGCACAGGCTATATAGCTATGGCCAGAAAATGGCGCTACCCACACCAGCTGCTGATCACCCACAACTGATTCATGCTGGCTGATCTTTATTGAGCATGCTGGGATTTGTAGATCACCTTCAGATCTACAGTAAAATAAAGAATTCTATAACACTGAAAATATAGTACATATACTGACTGTAAACAAGACACACGCACAGCTACTAAAATATTCATCTCTATAGAACCCAAACTCTTCATAATGGTGATCCCACTGTGAGATAAGCCAGCGATGATCAGAGATCTCTCTCAATGACAGCAAAGGATCAACTGCAGTACCATCCCGCTCCTAGAACTTCTATCAGAGTCCTTCAAGACAAATATGCGTTTTCCTACATATGATCCATTAATGTTTCTATACGTGTTTGGAGGATACTAGTAGAAGATCTCAGAGTAGGGTATTACCCCCCCCCCACAAGCAAGGGTAGGGTATCACCACCCCCCACCCAAGGGTAGGGTATCACCCCCCCCAACCACCACCCTGGGGTAGGGTATTACCCCCCAACCACCACCCTGGGGTAGGGTATCACCCCCCAACCACCACCCAAGGGTAGGGTATTACCCCCCCAACCACCACCCAAGGGGTACGGTAACCCCCAACCACCACCCAAGGGTACGGTATTACCCCCCAACCACCACCCTGGGGTAGGGTATCACCCCCCCCCAACCACCACCCAAGGGTACGGTAACCCGCCCAACCACCACCCAAGGTAGGGTAACACCCCCCCAACCACCACCCAAGGGTAGGGTATTACCCCCCCAACCACCACCCAAGGGTAGGTATCACCCCCCCAACCACCACCCTAGGGTATCACCCCCCCCCCAACCACCACCCAAGGGTAGGGTAACCCCCCCCAACCACCACCCTGGGGTAGGGTATCACCCCCCCCCCCCAACCACCACCCAAGGGTACGGTAACCCCCAACCACCACCCTGGGGTACGGTAACCCCCCCAACCACCACCCTGGGGTAGGGTATCACCCCTCACAATTCCTATTACTGCACTTATTGTATACATAGAGCTTGGATTACACTGCAGTTGACATTCAGTGCAGTCAGAGAGAGAACACAGCAGCACAATGATTTAAAAAGCTTGGCGACACAGCGGCTTGCTATACAGCACAATTAAAAAAACAAAAAAAAAAAAAAAAAAAAACAACTGTCCACCAGTCCTATAAAATATCTAGTATGGGGGCTGCATCTATATAACACTGGAATTATATGCCGACATGCCACACAAAGCTATGAATTCTAACCCTATCCTTCAGCCATCAGACCGGAGCAAACGCAGCTGAGCTGATATGTGCCCATGAAAGCGGCTAAAGGCTTAGGGTGGGAGTCAGTTGGGCATTTTAGGGCCCCCTTTTGCAGTGTGTGACTAGGCAGCCCCTTCGTTTAACACCTCAATAGGTAAGAAAACCCCAACATGACCCTAATTTTGTACCTTGACACATAGCACGCACACTGTGGTGTGCTCCAGAACAGGTAGGGTACCATTCCAAATGAACGGCGCCATAAATACTGCCGTACGTCAACACGTTAGGACACGAGTCTTACCGCACACTGTCACAAGGAAAAGGTCTGAAGGAAGGCTTAGTAAATATTAACCCAAGAGGGCGGTTTTAAGTGCAGCAGAATTTGTTTTGGGCTGCACTTAGAAGCGCCCTCGTATTCTTCGGTCGCAGGAGGCCTTACAAGTTTGATTCGTAAAAGGGCAGCAGGGGAAAGATCGCCTTATAACAGAAATTTCTATACATTTTTTGCCACTTAAAATGAACCCATGCTAACGTGAGAAAAAATAAAACAGCCAAAAGTTAGTGGGATGTGCCCTTCTAAGTGCATCTTTGCTGGGTTACCCTCGGTCCAAGCCAAGATTAGGCTCCTAGATAGCAGCAACCTGGCGGGACTGTAGGAAGGGCTGTGCCTAGGCTCCAACTTTCAACTTTGGGCATCGAAGTTCTGATGTGCCAGGTGTGCCCCACCATCTTATAGAGCCTGATCTTCTGGACTTGTTAGCATGGCCTCACTTTAAGCAATCTTAAAAACTGAAATAACTACTGCTTTTTATCATTTAAAGCCATTAAAAACAACCTTTCTGCATCACCTAGCTCTTTCCTACCCAGCCTAACTGGACCTGGCCCAACCCTTCCATTCATTGAATTTCAGGTTCTTTCAATCATGCAGGTTCAGCACCACATGTGGGAGGAATGGGCTTGCCTAGGAATGCCCACTCCTCCAGAGCGACTTCCATCTATCAAGGCTACTAAGATAGATTCAAACTCAGTGGGATTGATTTACTAAAGGCAAACAGACTGTGAACTTTGCAAGTGCAGTTGCCCCAGAGCTTAATAAATGAGGGGAAGCATCACTTTGCAAAAAATATCCATGCAAGGAAAATAATAAAAAAAAAAAATTTGCTTGCACACAAATGGATTGGATGATGGAAGTCAGCAGAGCTTCCTCTCATTTACTAAGCTCCGGAACGACTTGCAGAATCCAGTCTATTTGCCTTTAGGAAATCAACCCCAGTATGTACTTAGTGTTGTTTTTCCCCGAATCCTGTTCGGCAAAGCTGCTGACTGCACTGTCTGATGTTCACTTAACTGCTACATGGGGGATCAGGAGATCCGTATGCGAACACCATTAAAAAAAAAAGCCTTGTGCAGTGTTCAGGTACAGAAGTGCCAAATCACAAATTGCTTCCAAAATGAACCAATATGTGTATCTGATAAAAATACGAGATGGATTCTGTTCAATAGGTGCATCTGGTGAAGGAGATTTTCGTGCAGCTGAGCAGTTTTGAGGTATATGGGGGAGGCAGGGCAGAATCAAATCCCATGAGGGCGCTACGACTGAAATCATCCAAGCCACTTACACACCGGAGATTAAAGCACAATGTCCACGCCACGTAGACTAGAACCCTGTTAATGGCATAGAGGGCAGGCGCCATTCCCTGCACATGACCACACCAAGACAGGAGGGGAAGGGCAGAGGAAGAGGCAGGTCTGGCCACTCCCCCTTTATAAATACTATGCTGCAAGAGATGGAGGTACAAGGTGCAACCACACACACCACAGATGATCGGACTCCTGGAAGGAGCACTTGGGGGGGCGCCAACCTTCCCGAACAGACCCAGCCAGATATCTACAGGTCTAATTAGTTGGCTGTTTGAAAATGGGGGGGCAATTTAAATAACTAAAACCCTGCCGATTACCATGGTAAGGTAGCTACCATTCTACGGTAGCAGACCTGACTTCCTCAGAAATGTTCCTTCCTTATCTAACCCCCCCACCCATATTATGCATAGCTTACACAGCACAGATTTCTTTGTTCCTGAATCAGACCTGCCCAGCTGTGCCATGCTGGGGGGGGAGGAATGCCCATAAGCAAGCCTAAACCCTAGTCTAAACCATCAGCAGCACCGGACGCACTCCGGCAGACAGCCGTAACGGGAGTTCCTAGGGCCACTGGTAACGGGTAACATTCAGGAGCTTGGCCTAAACCAGTGTTTCTCAACTCCAGTCCTCATGGACCCCCAACAGGTCATGTTTTCAGGATTTCCATTATTTTGCACAGGTGATTTGATCAGTTTCACTGCCTTAGTAATTACCACAGCTGTTTCATCTGAGGGAAATCCTGAAAACATGACCTGTTGGGGGTCCATGAGGACTGGAGTTGAGAAACACTGGCCTAAACCAAGATGCTGCCTTTACAATGAATCTGTGCTTTGCCCTTGCAACAGGTTCACTTTAATGCAGACCTCCAGAAATGCATAATCCTTCCCGATTGGCCCAACACTGTCACACGGAGTGAGTCACATGCTCCCTCATACCTCACAGCCGCCGGGATATCCTTCGGCTCATACTGATGATGGCGAGAGTAAAGCACAGGGAAGCAGGTGACCTCCCAACGCAACTAATATTTTGGTGTCAATGGCGCAAAGAAGCCCCGGAGCTGCTGATAGTATCACCTACAATTTGTGTAAGTGGAGGGGTGTAAAACATGATCCGTTTAGACTATGGTTCAGGTTTTAAATTTCAGTTCCCAAAAAGGCAGTAAAAGGCATCTTTCATTATTCTAAAATAAGTTATGTGGCTACTTTAGCTATAAATAAATTTTAATCGGAGTTCTTTAATCCCAGAGATGCTTTGCAGGTACAAACAACAATGACTCTGTCATACGAATGCCGTAGTAAAAGAGGCGCCATGTCTGTCCCGAAAGCATCCTACAAGATCGGTATAATATATCTGGCCTGGACTGTTAAGATACTGGAGTTCCCAACTTCACCCCATCAAGTTTCCCCTCCCTCCTTCTACCAGTTGGCGCTATCCCAGCCATCATCGGTAGAGGGCGCCTGGCTCTTGCCCCCTTTCTTCCCCTCGGCCTCCCAGTGGCTGTCCCAGTTCTCCCAGCTGTCGCTATTGCTGTTCTTGTTGTTGGAGGTGGTCCCGGAGCCCCACACCTCCCAGCTATCCGAGCTCTTCCTCTCCGCCGTGTTCTCCGGGAACGTCCAGCTGTCCCCGCTCGGCGACTTGGTTGGCTTCTTGATTTCCTCCGAGCTGCCGAACGTCTCCCAGAAGGATTTTCCTGAAGTGGCATTTTGGTAGCTGTCGCTGGTGCTTTGCTGGTAGCCTTCTCCAGGTATAGGGCTGTGGATTGCCAGAAGAAAAAAAAAAAAAAAAAGGAAAAATGCATGAGGGTGGTGGAGTTACAAAAGAAAATAAGAGTTCAATATTATCCAGACCTCCGGTTTGCTCATGGCTCTCTTTGCTGGAGAGGAAGCTGTAACTGAGGACCTACAATGCAAGGATCTCCCTGCTTTTCTTCATTCATTCATTCAGCAAATATGTGCTGTTTTGCTTCTCCTACAGATTCCCTCACCTTTTATCAACTATGAAATAAGGCAGCAAACATGGCTGCCTTCACATAAAGACACCATGAAGAATGAGGCACAGTAAGTCAGTAATGGTGGACAAGATCAGCTGTAGAGAGAGAACTGTCTTTTGCCTTTTTGGGCACACAGGACATTTTAAAAATGCTCCTCCTCTTGGTAGCAAGAGGCAGAAAAAACACCAGACGCTTGTCAAAGTGTCTAATGCTTTTACAAGCGTTTACAGGCTTCAAGTGTTTGGGCTTTAATTAATTTAATTGGCAAAAATAATAACTTATGCTGGCCACTGAAATGAATGAACGCTCAAACGCTGAACCCGCCTAGCGTTCACACGCATTTAGACGCATCAAACGTTTTTTCTGCCAAACCGCTGCTACTCCTGGACGGACTGGCCCTGGGCCACTGGTCCTGCTGGTAAACGCTACTACTACTTAAAGCATCTAAAGGTCTATGTGTGCATGGACACATAGGACAACATGGAGGGGTCTTTCAGTATAAAAAAAAATGCCTGACGCCCCTTAAAGTGGCTGTAAAAATGCCCTGTGTACATGAGGACCAACAGTACTACATTTGATGGTGCCTGCATAGTTCCAATGCCAATCCCACATGGCAGAGCCAGTTGCATCATACAGATGATCTTTTTCGATGTCCATTAAAGTGTTACTACACCCAGGACCCTGCATTTTATCAGGAGAGAAGAGGGGGGCACTGGAAAAAAGGGGAGGATTAGAGAAGTCAGGATCAAACAGCATTTTTACACAATGCAGAGGATTAACCCTTTAGGTTCCACAGTTAGTATATATCAAGCATGCTTTACTCCCATATACAGACTGATTTTACTGTTGTGGGTTCAGTAACACTTAAAGGGTGGCATTCTTCCCACCGGCCCCCTAATGTAATGGACATTCCTCTCACTGACCTCCAATGTAAGGGACATTCCTCTCACTGACCTCCAATGTAAGGGACATTCTTCCCACTGACCTCCAATGTAAGGGACATTCTTCCCACTGACCCCCAATGTAAGGGACATTCTTCCCACTGACCTCCAATGTAAGGGACATTGTTCCCACTGACCACCAATGTAGGGGACATTCTTCCCACCAGCCCCCCAATGTAAGAGACATTCTTCCCACTGACCACCAATGTAAGGGACATTGGTCCCACTGACCTCCAATGTAAGGGACATTCGTCCCACTGACCTCCAATGTAAGGGTCATTCTTCCCACTGACCTCCAATGTAAGGGTCATTCTTCCCACTGACCTCCAATGTAAGGGTCATTCTTCCCACTGATCACCAATGTAAGGGTCATTCTTCCCACTGACCTCCAATGTAAGGGTTATTCTTCCCACTGACCTCCAATGTAAGGGTCATTCTTCCCACTGACCCACTGACCTCCAATGTAAGGGTCATTCGTCCCACTGACCCCCAATGTAAGGGACATTCTTCCCACTGACCTCCAATGTAAGGGACATTCTTCCCACTGACCTCCAATGTAAGGGTCATTCTTCCCACTGACCTCCAATGTAAGGGACATTCGTCCCACTGACCCCCAATGTAAGGGACATTCTTCCCACTGACCACCAATCTAAGGGACATTCTTCCCACTGAACACCAGCGTAAGGAGCATACTTCCCACTGATCCCCAATGTAAGGGACAGTCTTTCCACTGACCTCCAATGTAAGGGACATTCTTCCCACTGACCCCCAATGTAAGGGACATTCTTTCCACTGACCATTCTCTTTGAGCAAACTTGCTGACAAATGCAGAAAAAGGGCCTCATCACTCACCTTTCCGTGTTGTCCTCACTCTTTCCTGAGAAAAAGCTGGTGACATCTTTCCAGCTCTTAGTCCCGACGCCCTGCACCTACAGAAGAGACCTGAAGGTTATATTCTGCTTGGTGTCATCATTAGCCTAACCAGCAACATACTCACAGCAGAGGCTGGAAACACAATTCTACCCATATAGAGCAAAGTAACAACTCAAGTGCCACCCTTCCCTGCTACCCAAACTGGCCTTCACCTAACTCTCCTGCTGCTCCGTTAAGCCTTCGGAATCAAAGGTAAGAAACCATGTGAAAATGTAGCCCGGACTTACACAGGACTGAGGACGCTCTACCTGCTCCATGTGACAGCCTAAGGAGGCAGTCAGCAATATGGGGGGTGCAGAGTCACATGCTCCCCCCTACCCAAAGCGCTGGCTTGATCATGGTGGCCAAACAAGGTAGTGAAACTTCAACGGGAAGGCGAGTAGTGCCGAATGGGGTCAGTTAAATTATGTTGACCTCGAAGCTGACCTACACTATCACACCTCTGAGCAGACCTTTCATTCCTGTCAGAGACTTTGATCTGGGTTCATAGATAAAGTCCTGAGAGGGGTGCCTACCCTTCCCCCCCCTAAACCCCAAAAAGAGCCAAGGGTTAAAGGTGTCCTGTCAGGTCTCTAAGGATGTAAAACTACCAGTACCTTGCAACAGAAGAGCTATTATACTTGCCTCCCTGGTACCCCTTGTCTCCTACCTCCCCTTTGATCCAATCCAGTGTTGCAGCCTTCATCAGATTCTTAGGAATTTGACACTTCCGGGAGTGTCGGATGTCTTTGTCCTTCCCAGCGTGCTCTGGTTACATTCTTTGACCCCCTATTTGACTGCCAAGTCATGTAGTGGCATAGGGGGTCATAGGAAGGTAACAGTGCACAATGAATAAGAACAGTATGACCTCGAAGCTGACCTACACTATCACACCTCTGAGCAGACCTTTCATTCCTGTCAGAGACTTTGATCTGGGTTCATAGATAAAGTGCTGAGAGGGGTGCCTACCCTTCCCCACTAAACCCCAAAAAGAGCCGAGGGTTAAAGATGTCCTGTCAGGTCTCTAAGGATGTAAAACTGCCAGTATCTTGCAACAGAAGAGCTATTATACTTGCCTCCCTGGTACCCCTGGTCTCCTACCTCCCATCCATTTTGATCCAATCCAGTGTTGCAGCCTTCATCAGATTCTTAAGAATTTGATAACAAGTCTGGGGTATGCGATATCCGAGCATCCGGAAGGGTTGCCGCAGATTGACCTGCAGATTTCGGGATCTGCACAAGCTACATCATCTGTGAAGAGGACTCTGCTGATCATCCCAGGAAGAACCATCAAAAAGAATGGCAACACCTTGAGGTAAGCTGCAAGAAGAGAGCTTACCTCAAGGTGTTGCCATTCTTTTTGATGGTTCTTCCTGGGATGATCAGCAGAGTCCTCTTCACAGATGATGTAGCTTGTGCAGATCCCGAAATCTGCAGGTCAATCTGCGGCAACCCTTCCGGATGCTCGGATATCGCATACCCCAGACTTGTTATTGAATTACTGCCAACAGAGTGGCCCCCCCTTTTTTCTTCTATGCGTGGCAAACACCATCGAGTGACGAGGGGCTTTTGTGACCAGATCTGACCAGATCCATATGAGGACCCTAGGATTATCTGCTTTGAATGCGCATTTGGATTGCGTATCTGGTGAGTGCGCAATCTTTATACCTTTATCACCTCATCCACGAATCCAGGCATTGGAGCTTTTTGAAGACTCTTGGGTTTTGAACACCTTTTGAACACGTTATGGACTATACTCATTTTAGTCACCGTTTTGCACTTTAATAGCACCTTAACATTGGTTTGTGTAACTATTTAAGTGTATATTTATTAAGTTAGCGCTGCACCTCCCCCCCTTTATGCATTCTGATTATTGTGAAGGTTTTATGGTACCTTTTTGGTGTTCAGCTGCTATTTTCTAGTTTAATTTAATTTTGTTCACTTATTGATTTTATAAGTTGTTTTAAGCGCTCACTTGTCTTGAGATTTAAGAATTTGACACTTCCGGGAGTGTCGGATGTCTGTGCCCTTCCCCGTGTACTCTGGTTGCATGCTTTGACCCCTATCCCACTGCTGAGTCCTGTAGTGACATTGGGGGGGTCATAGAAAGGAAACCTAGTTCTCAATGAATGAGCACAGTATGTAGATGAGTTGAATGGCTAAGCGTATTACAGGGGCTTCAGCATTGGAACAAATGGGAGGTAGGAGACTCAGGCTGCCTGACAGCCGAGTGTATCGTGTCTTCTGTTGCAAGATACTGGCAATTTTATATCATTGGAGACCAGGGGGTTGATTTATTAAAGCTGGAGAGTGCAAAATCTGGTGCAGCTCTGCATAGAAACCAATCAGCTTCCAGGTTTTATTCTCAAAGCTTCATTGAACAAGCTGAAGTTAGAAGCGGAGTGGCTATGGCAGGCCTTGAAATTTCCACTTGCCAATGGCGAGTGGAAATTATGGTAGTGGCGAGTGTGTCCCCCAGGGCTGTCTTGCTGAGCAGGCTCAGAGCTCAGGCCGGATCTGTCATTGGCACTGGGAGCCGTCAGACTGCTCAATAGCTGAGTGCAGTGAAAGCAAAGGAAGGAGTGTGTGCTGTGCTCTCTGCCTCCCCCTAGAGTGCAGTACCCGGATCTGTGAGTGAACAATGAAGTACTGCAACTTTTTATAGGGTGTGTGTGTGTATGTACATGTGTGTATCTGTACATGTGTCTGTGTGTATGTACATGTATGTGTTTGTGTGTACATGTGTCTGTGTGCATGTACATGTGTGTTTGTGTGTAAGTACGTACATGTCTGTATGTACACGTATCTGTGTATGTATGTACATGTGTCTGTGCGTGTGTATGTACATGTATCTGTGTGTATGCGTGTATGTACGTGCCCTGTGTGTGTATACATGTGTCTCTGTGCGTGTGTACATGTTTCTGTGTGTGTATGTATGTATGTATGTACATGTCGGTGTGTGTGTACAGGTGTCTCTGTTTGTTGGTGGCAAGTAACTCTTAAGGCCTGGCTAGTAGCTCAGGACTTGAAATTTTAAGCCCTGGGCTATGGTGTACAGCTGCAAGTAAATCTCCCACCACTGTGTGTAAGGAAACGCTCTTGGGAGATGTAGTTCTAGGGGTGCGATTGGCTAGGGCGGGTGTCGGCAACCCGCGGCTCCGGAGCCGCATGCGGCTCTTTTTCACCTTTCCTGCGGCTCCGGAGCACACTGCCCACCAGGTGACAGGCAATAGGGTCGGCAAGCCGCGGCTCTTTTAATGCAGCTCTTCTATGTGCCGGGCGCCCGCTCCCCTCCCTCCTCCAAACATTGGCTGTCAGGATGTAGGCGGGGCAGCGTGACGAACTCCTCTCCTCTCACAGTCCGCCCTGAAGACCAGAACGGCGCGGAAACACAGCTAGAGGAACGCGCGGAGCAAAGGTAAGTGAATTGACACAGGGGGGATGAATTACTATAGGGGGGATGAATTACTATATGGGGGATGAATTACTATATGGGGGATGAATTACTATATGGGGGATGAATTACTATATGGGGGATGAATTACTATGGGGGATGAATTACTATGGGGGATGAATTACTATATGGGGGATGAATTACTATATGGGGGATTAATTACTATATGAAATTACTATATGGGGGATGAATTACTATGGGGGATGAAATTACTATATGGGGGATGAATTACTATATGGGGGGATGAATTACTATATGGGGGATGAATTACTATAGGGGGAATTACTATGAAATTACTTACTATAGGGGGGATGAATTACTATAGGGGGGATGAATTACTATAGGGGGGATGAATTACTATAGGGGGGATGAATTACTATAGGGGGGATGAATTACTATATGGGGGATGAATTACTATATGGGGGGATGAATTGCTATAGGGGGGATGAATTGCTATAGGGGGGATGAATTACTATATGGGGGATGAATTACTATGGGGGATGAATTACTATATGGGGGATGTATTTTTTCAGTTTTAAAAATGTGGCTCTCAAAATAAATTTCAATCGTGGTTTTGGCGAGATTTGGCTCAGTTGAAAAAAAAGGTTGCCCACCACTGACCTAAGGCTATGATTGTGATTATGACGATACACTGTGGCCCTGGTTAACCCTTTGCTTACTGGGCCCTTAAACCTCCTTCATGACCAGAGCGCTTTTCGCAATATATGCAGTGTCGGATTTGTTTTAAATGTTGCAATGGTTTTGCGGCTCCCAGTCTTTTTTTCCCTCTCGGAAACGGGTCCAAGTGGCTCTTTATGTATGTCTTAAAGGTTGCAGACCCCTGGGCTAGGGTGTACAGCTGCACCAGATTGTGTACTCTCCAGTTTTAGTAAATCTACCCCAAGGTGTCTTTAACGTGAACCTTGACCTACAAGGTAAAGGAAAAAGTTCACTTAGCGCCATGCTTCTTCATTACCCCACTTTCCTATTCCTTTGTTCTCCCTCGGTTCTGTGTTGCCTATGGGAGTGAAGTGAAATATCTGGTACTTCTTGGTATGGGTGACTCACTCCTTTTCCCATGTGACAGCATTAGGTTCCTTACGATTTGCCCAGGACTGTCACATGGGGAAGGAGCCCGAGTAAGTACCAACAATTTGGTCTGGAGCCAACACAAGGCTTCTTTCTGTAGTCCCAGTGGGAGAATAGAGAAAGAGGAGTTATGTACGGAAGGGGTGGGTTCACATTAACCCCTTTTGCGCCGGCGCCTCCCGGCCCTTTAAGAGGTTTCAGAAGCCGGTGAGGGGTTTTAGGGTCATGTGACCGCCGTGATTCACTGTCACGTCTGTCACATGATCAGAAAAGGTCCCGATCGCAAGGGGAGATCGAGATCTTTCCGTGAGTCACAGACATATGTGCAGGGAGCACGCGCTCTCAGCACATAAGTATTTTCAATTTGGTGCGCACATATGCGGCCGCTCGGCATCAAGGCCCAGACGCTGAGAGGCCGCATATTTGTGTGCGCTCGACGCCTACGGGTTAAAGATGTAATCTCTTTGCATTGTTATGATCCATGCACACGGGGCGTTTTAATAAAGCTGGTAGATTTAGCTGTTAAAAGTCACGTTAAAAACGCAAGTTTTTCTGCATTTTTGCATTAGCATTTTGCTGCGTTTGCGGTTTTTAGCCCAAAAAAAAAATATTAGTTTTTTGCTCAAAAAAAATGTCCAAAACAGGGGCGCACTGAAAACTCATGGGACCCCAGGCAATAGGGTATCATGGGGCCCGTGTCTTTGCCCAAACTCAAAAAAGCCTATGAAAAAGGTACCAGAGGCATCTCATGGGGCCCCCTACTGACCCCGGGCCCTCGGGCAGTGCCCAAGTTTCCAAATGGTCAGTTCGCCCCTGGTCCAAAAATGCTGGCTTGCTGCATTTTTCTGCATTAGAGCATGTATACAGCTACAAAACTCCTCTAAAAACCTACTCGTTCTGTTTTTTGGGGGGTTTTTTGTTCCCCAGCCAAAAAAACGCTGACTGCAGCCTGTGTGTATGGACATGCTGGGGGGTTTACTGGCTGTAGAAAAAAAATGTCAAAAGCCAAAAACAGCCGCTGTAAAAACATCCCGTGTGCATGAGGACTTACTCTGACTTCAGGGACTGCTCACACCCCTTTGTCCGAAACACATTCCTACCTTGCATGAATCCCCCTAAATGCAGTGCACAGAGCTCTCTACACAGCCCATAGATCTCTGGCAGCAATAAGACTGAGGCTGGGAGTAGAATGCACACTCTGTGTAGGTAATACACATGGCTAGAGCACTCACCGTCACATCCAAAAAAAAAGGCAGCGTAGAGAAAACAAACATATTTGGTTAGAAGTTGACAATGCAAATACAAGATGGCATGTGAGCCGTCGACACATCCACGGCATGCTTGGGGGTGACGGTATCATGAACCCTGGTAAACACAGCGTAGGCACTCCCCTACCTCCCATGTGACAAGTCACAAGGACACTGAGCAATGCAATATGGTATGCAGAACTGATTTTAACATTTTCTATGACAGGTTCTCTTAAAGGCCACATGACCACCAACAGTTGACCAAGACACCGGATGTGGCGTCCAGCTACCCCATGCCATCACAGCGCCCCCTACCTTTGAGGCTAGACTGGATACTGAACTGCTGACGTCTTCTAAGATTCGTCCGTCCTTCACCTAGAACGTGGGAGGAAAAAGGGATATACAGGGGAGGGGAGTTCAGTGGAGGGTGGTGTGGTGATGTGCAAAGGGGACAGACTCCCTTCACCGAAAAGCCAATCAGGTGCAGCGATGTTGCCTTGCGTGGATTAGAGAAGCGGGGCTTTGGCATTAGTTGATTAGTAGATCACGCCTTGCACAGGAAGCATTAGTCAGACTCAGGACACAAAAGGCTTGGCTAGCTAAAAGGTGGCCCTATTGATGCTGGCATTTATTAGCGATACGGGGCCCAACAGAACCAACAACAAGTTTTGTTTTCAAACGATTTCTTTTTGTCAAAGGGAACTGCTGTAATCACTAATCAGAACCTATAAAATACTCCAACTTGCAATGGTAGAGCTACTAATGCAATGGTGCACCTGACAGCCAGAAGGATCATTGTGCTGGACAGGACTTAGGGGGCCCCTACATCATGGATGGCCCTTATGGGGTGGGATGGACAGGGTCATTTACCGATTGAATTTTGAATTTGGAATGGGGCCCTAATGGTTACTTTTAGAACCAATCTTCATCCCTGACATTCCACAGGTGAGATCTAAACCATAGCTCCAGCTCTCAGAATGAAATGACGGCTTTTCCTGGATAAACCGCGATGTAGTTTAGAGCAGGGGCGGACTGACCATTCAAGCATTCGGGCACTGCCCGAGGGCCCGGGGTCAGTAGGGGGCCCCATGAAATTCCCCTGGTACCTATTATAGGCTTTTTTGGGTGTGCTTTGAGTGTGGGCAAGGACATAGGGGCCCCTTGACCCCTATTGCCCGGGGGCCCCATGAGTTGTCAGTCTGCCCCTGGTTTAGAGGTTGTCCAAGGTACAAATCTGTGATGGCGTCACATCCTCGGTTTTCATTTTAGTCGTTCTCTCATTGCAAGGAGAGCGGATTGTGGTTAGTGATTTCAAACAACAGCTGATTTTAAATCAATATCCATTGCTTTTCACTACCGTGCCATTCTGCGAGTAGCATTACAATCGAACCAATTGGAAGGAAAAGCTTCTGGCAATATATAGTTAAGACTTCCTGTCTAGAGTTGAAACTGACAAAACATGAAATGACAAACGCAAGCTTAGCCAAGCGGAACAGAGACAATGGTCAACAATGGACAAGCAACAATTATACAGCCAAAATTAAAGAGCACCTGTATTTTACAGAAAGTCGTATGCTGTAAAGGAGGGAGTTAGAGGAGATAGGCATGGTTTTGGTTTTGCTTCGTTGCAAAGATTTTGGGGCCATGCCAATATGCCCCGTCTTTCTTTATTAGCTCAGCCTTGCCTCCTGTGCCACTATGTTCCGCCCAGGAGGTTGCTCGGGTATCCCTAAGATTTGGCTGATTGACCTCCCATTTGATGGTGCCTGCATAGTTCCACAGCCAGTCCCATGTGGCAGAGCCAGCTGCATCATGCCGATGATCTTTTTAGAAGTCCGTTAAAAGGTGGCATTCTTCCCACTGGCACCCCCCAACGTAAGGCATACTCTTCCCACCAGCCTCCCCACGTAAAGGACGCTTCTCTCACTGGCCTCCCAATGTAAGGGACGCTCTTCCCACCGGCCACCAACGTAAGGGACGCTCTTCCCACCGGCCTGCCCACGTAAAGGACGCTTCTCTCACCGGCCTCCCAACGTAAGGGACGCTCTTCCCACCGGCCACCAACGTAAGGGACGCTCTTCCCACCGGCCACCAACGTAAGGGGACGCTCTTCCCACCGGCCACCAACGTAAGGGACGCTCTTCCCACCGGCCACCAACGTAAGGGACGCTCTTCCCACCGGCCACCAACGTAAGGGACGCTCTTCCCACCGGCCACCAACGTAAGGGACGCTCTTCCCACCGGCCACCAACGTAAGGGACGCTCTTCCCACCGGCCACCAACGTAAGGGACGCTCTTCCCACCGGCCACCAACGTAAGGGACGCTCTTCCCACCGGCCACCAACGTAAGGGACGCTCTTCCCACTGGCCACCGATATAAACAAAGCTCTTCCCATTAGCCACCAACGTAAGGGACGCTCTTCCCACCGGCCACCAACGTAAGGGACGCTCTTCCCACCGGCCACCCACGTAAGGGACGCTCTTCCCACCGGCCACCAACGTAAGGGACGCTCTTCCCACCGGCCACCAACGTAAGGGACGCTCTTCCCACCGGCCACCAACGTAAGGGACGCTCTTCCCACCGGCCACCAACGTAAGGGACGCTCTTCCCCACCGGCCACCAACGTAAGGGACGCTCTTCCCACCGGCCACCAACGTAAGGGACGCTCTTCCCACCGGCCACCAACGTAAGGGACGCTCTTCCCACGGCCACCAACGTAAGGGACGCTCTTCCCACCGGCCACCAACGTAAGGGACGCTCTTCCCACCGGCCACCAACGTAAGGGACGCTCTTCCCACCGGCCACCAACGTAAGGGACGCTCTTCCCACCGGCCACCAACGTAAGGGACGCTCTTCCCACCGGCCACCAACGTAAGGGACGCTCTTCCCACTGGCCACCGATATAAACAAAGCTCTTCCCATTAGCCACCAACGTAAGGGACATTCTTCCCACTGGCACCAGTGTAAGGGACTTTTTCTTTCTGACCTTTGAAAGTTTAGAAGGGGTTCCCCAAGACCTGAAATTTATTTTCAGGATTACTTTGCAGTAAAATGGTTGAGAAAGGCTACTCTAGGCTAGATTAGGTCTAAAGGTAGACTTGCATGTTTAACTGAGCAGATGGTAAAACAAATCCAATGGCTACCCCCGTTAACATCCAACTCATAGCATGGTTAGTACAGCTTAGGTGCATGTGAAATGGAAAAAGCAACGATGGGGACACACGGATAGGACCTTCACAGACATAAGACACCGATTCACATAGACACCGTGCTGAGCCCCATAGCCAGCAGTGTTCATCTTTACAATTACATCTCTGTGAAGTTACCTTCTCCTGGGCTGGTTTGACAACATTCTCATTAATGGTCTGGCCTAGCTCAGAGGCCTATCCAGGGAAAATAAAAAAAAAAAAAAAAAAAAGAGGAGATCGGTCAGGATGGCGAGAGAGCAATGAATGGACATAGGGAACATGCACACATTGTGGATACTTGTGAGAGAATGCGAACCCTTAGGATTCTTCTAGATGACACTCCGATGATGCTCAAGCGCAAATCCAGAAAATCGCTAAGGGGTCTTAGACTTATTCTCACAACTGTATGTGCAAGTACACGAGTAAGTCATGCAAACCAGTGATCCGTACAGACTGCATGCAAGGGAATGGGGAGACAGCTGGTTGGAAGAGGGATATAAAGGAATTGAGAGCAACACGATGGAAATTCAGTGGTGTAGCATCAGGTATTTTGTAAATCTGTAGGTACTTTTTAACCCCTTTCTGCCTGCAATCTGTAGCAAAGTTGCCCTGCTTAGCGTCTCACACTGAAAGTATGTTGATAATTAGAAGCCGATACTGTGCAGAGCTGCTAGATTAAGCTATCACTGACCATTATGGCCCCCCACTAACAATAGGGAACCAATCAGGATGGTTCCCCTACATGCAGGCTGGAGGCTTCATTTGCAAAATAAACCTACAATCTGCGACGAAGATGACTATGTGTTTAATTGTATCTGACAAATTTTAGCATCTTTTAGGGTATTGAAAGGTTTATTATTTTTTTTATACCCTTTTAATTAAAAAAATAAACGTATTGTTTTAATACTGTACTTGTATCTGACAATGACAGTATTAAAACAATAAAATAAAAAATTATTCTTTTAATACTGTAATTGTCAGATACAATTACAGTATTAAAAACAATATTTATTTTTTTTACTTAAAAGGAAATTAAAAAAAAAAAAAAAAAAAAAAAAACACACCTTTCAATACCCTAAAAGCTGCTAATATTGTCAGACCCCTAGTCACAAAAGGGCACATTCTACTGTTCTTTAACTTTGTGCTGGTCCTAGAATAATCACATCTCTAGGTGGGCAGCCAACTACTTAATAAAAATACAGATGCAAACCGATTTATGTGCCAAGTACTTTGTTCAGTCAGTCTTGTGATTGTAACCCCACCAGTATTACCAGCTTTCACTTTGCAGCTTGCCATCCCACTGGCCTGCTCAGACAATCCATTAGCAGCATGAAGATACGGACCGATCGTCTCGCTGACCTGGTAGCGAGGGAGCAATTCCACAGAGACTAGCAAACGGTCTGTTAGTGATCCTGACACTAGGAAGCTGTTGTTCCATCAAGATCACCCATTTGTCATGACCCCCTAGGAGAGGGGTGGGCAACTGTGGCCCTTCAGCTGTTGTAGAACTACAAGTCCCATGAGGCATTGCAAAACTGACAGTTACAAGCATGACTCCCAAAGGCAGAGGCATGATGGGACTTGTAGTTCACCAACAGCTGAAGGGCCACAGTTGCCCACCCCTGCCCTAGGATGTACAGTAGAATTGTATAGAGAATTGATGGAAAGAGAGAGAACCCAGGAAACAGCCATTTCACACTGGTCCAAGCCCTCTTCCTGGTTCACAAGATAGAAGCAGTGCCAGGACAGGGTCATAGGAAACTTATAAAAACTTTTTTTTTTTTTTTAATAATAATGTGACGGTAGCAGATCAGCGCTATGAACACTGTCATGTTTTTGCTGCTTTGTTCCAGTTGGCAAGATTTCTTTACTAGATGGATGGCCACCGGCAAGAGTGGATGTTCCTAATTAGGCTGTATTTGCATACAGACCATCTACAGGTGATGCTGATTGTCCATCATTGAAAGAACTGAAATCCAATGAGTGAAAGGGGTGGGCCAGGGACAGTCAGGCTGGGAAGGAAAGTGCTAGATGATGCTGGATGGCCTCCATCCAGGCTCTGACTTCTAATGCACACTGTGAGAAGCTCACAGTGTGCACTGAAATCAAAGTAAGCCATTTCCATACAGGAGAAGAACCTGTACAATTGTGCCAGATTGCAGGTATAGCTGGAGGTCAGTTTTAAAACAAACCTTTACTAAGGTTTAATTCACCCCTGACGACATCACTGAATGAAGAGTGAGGACAGGCAGGCATGAGGAGCGGAGACCGTGAGAAGCCAGGAAAGACGACAGGACAGCACAGGAGAGAGAAGAGTGCCTGCTCATACAATATTCTCTATGAAATTCTGGTGCACCAATTAAAGGGCATCTTTATTCAGTTCTCGATAGAGTGGCGAAGGGTTAGAACGTCTGTCTGGTTTTTACTGCCTATTCGCCTTAGTGACTGAAAATGAGGGGAATCTAAAAATGTACATTGTCACCAAAACAGAGGGGATATCTTACAATAGGGACAAGTGTTCTGGTGACTACTATGAAGGGATTCCCTTAATTTGGAGAGATTTCCTCTCACTCAACTGCAGGAAGTGAAAAAAAAAATCCCCCCCGCCCCCCCCAATGGGACAGAGACAGGAAAAAAACAGACAAGGGTTTTAACCCTTCCTTACCCTATCTCAAATTAAGAAAAAAAAAAAAAAAAAAAAAAAAAAAGGGTTTTATGTACACTTTAAGTCCCTACTTGCAGCAAGAATGAAGTGCAAAGTCCAGTAACGCCTAACAGCCAATCAGAATCAATCTCCTAAAGCATCAGTCCACTCAGAACTGGTACAGTTGTCTTCATACTGTCAATAGATTGAGGGAAACTTGTAGTGAGGAGTATGAATGCAGCCATTGTTGGTCTCTCTTGGTTCGTTGGCTGCCATGTATCTGTAATACCAAGGAGGCCACAGGGGGAACAGGCACAACTCCATGGCTGGTGAGCACAAGGAGCCAATGGGGACTGGGCCTTTTAGGCTCCATCTATATCTAAAATAATTTGTGGACACCTACCCATCACAGCTATGTGAGTTTGTTGGACATTCCATCCCAAAACCATGGCCATTAGATGGGGTTTACCTTCACACAGCTATTACAGCTTCCACTCTACTGAGAAGACTTTAGAGCAGAGGCGCCCACCCTTTGGTCCGCTGATGTAGCCCTCGACCTCAAACCAGGGAAGCACACTTCTATTATATCCTGTGGGTTTGATGTGCTTTCTGAAAGTGCACCACACCCGCAAGAAAAATACTAGAAGTCTACGGCAAAGTTCACCTAACCCACAGGAAAGCCGCAGGTGCACTGTGCTGAACCCATGGTGCGGGTACACCGCAGCGCATCAATGTGAAAGCAGTATTATAGGGGGCACAGAACGAGGGTTTGTTTAAATTTGGAGTTTGGGAAAGGGGTGGGGGGTTGGTAAAACCCAGCGTTTTTTACCACACCACCCAACCACTGGTGCAACGTCAGGGTTCTCAATCGTGACCACTGGTGCAACATCAGGGGTAGCTATGGTGACCCCATCCCATGCTCCAGGGGGCCCATGCGGCCTCCCTATCACATTTTGGTTTTACACTTGGATGGGGGGGGAAGCATATACAGGAACCAATCCTCTCCATTTTCCTCCTACAGCCCTCTGATCTGAAAGCTGGGTTACCTCCTCTCCCTCCCATCAGCGGCTACAGGAGGAAAATGTTCATTAGGCTATTCACAATAAAAAAAATTGGGAATTCTGAAGTCATTTCATGGTGGCCCGTGACTGGTTGCCAAATCACTCCTCCGCTCTTCAAGAGGTTGAGCACCCCCCCTTCTTTAGAGTGTGTCTGTGGGATTTTATGCTCATTAGATCAGGTGATGTTGGAGAAGACCTGACTCAGTGTTCCAATTCATCCCAAAAGGTGTTTCAGTAGGGTTGAGGTCCCACAAGTTCCTCCATGCCAAACTGGTCAAACCAAGTCTTTATGGAGCTGACTTTGTACACAGCAGCAGTCATGATGGAACAGAAAAGGACCTTCACTGAATTGCTCCTCAAGGTTGGAGGTGACCATAGTCTCTCTATACCGTAGCATAAACAGTACCCTTCACCGGAGACATCTCGACTTAGTCATATAGATGGTTGTCCCCATATAAGCATACAGTCATGGCCCGAAAATTGTTGGCACCCTTGATATTTCTCCAGGAAATCATGTATTTCTCACGAAACGTATTGCATTAACACATGTTTTGCTATACACATGTTTATTCCCTTTGTGTGTATTGGGACAAAACAAAAAAAGGGAGGAAAGAAAGCAAATTCGACATAATGTCACCACAAACCTCCAAAAATGGGCTGGACAAAAGTATTGGCACCCTTTCACAACTGCGGATAAATAAGAATGTTACAAGCATGTGATGCTCCTGTAAACTCACCTGGGGCAAGTAACAGGTGTGGGCAATATAGAAATCACACCTGAAAGCAGATAAAAAGGAGAGACGTTCACTTAACCTTTGCATTGTGTGTCTGTCTGTGCCACACTAAGCATGGACAACAGAAAGAGGAGACGAGAACTGTCTGAGGACCTGAGAACCAAAATTGTGGCAAAATATCAACAATCTCAAGGTTACAAGTCCATCTCCAGAGAAACTAGATTTGCCTTTGTCCACAGTGCGCAACATTATCAAGAAGTTTGCAACCCATGGCACTGTAGCTAATCTCCCTGGTCGTGGACGGATGAGGAAAATTGATGAAAGATTGCAACGCAGAATAGTCCGGATGGTGGATAAGCAGCCCCAAAACATGTTCCAAAGACATTCAAGCTGTCCTGCAGGCTCAGGGAGCATCAGTGTCAGCGCGAACTATCCGTCGACATTTAAATGAAATGAAACGCTATGGCAGGAGACCCAGGAGGACCCCACTGCTGACACAGAGACATAAAAAAGCAAGACTACAGTTTGCCAAAATGTACTTGAGTAAGCCAAAAAGCCTTCTGGGAAAACGTCTTGTGGACAGATGAGACCAAGATAGAGCTTTTCGGTAAAGCACATCATTCTACTGTTTACCGAAAACGGAATGAGGCCTACAAAGAACAAAACACAGTAACCTACGTAAAATATGGTGGAGGTTCAATGATGTTTTGGGGTTGTTTTGCTGCCTCTGGCACTGGGTGCCTTGAACTGTGTGCA